TGTTTTTTGGTAATACATATAAAAAAGAAAATTTTGAATTAATTATATTGGTGCATGTAAGGTTTTTGCTCAAGGAGAATGTGATTATGTCACTTTTCTATGAAAAAGTGATAGAAAGTCACTTTTTCATCAAAATGTCACTTTTTTCAATAAAAAGTCACATAATATTATTGGAACAATTAATTAGATGCATACATGTGCATTTTTTGAAAATTTGAACATACCAATTCAAACACTGTTTTTTGGTAATATATATGAAATAGAAAAACTTTGAATCAATTGCATTGATGCATGAAACATGTTTGTTTAAAGAGAATGTGAAAAAGTTACATTCTTAAAAAATTCACGGTATCTCACTGAAGCAATTAACTAGATACATATTACTCTGTCACTTAAAAAAAAAAACTCACAATTTTTTTGCAATCTTTTTCCAGGTATGGATAAAATTAATGTTTTCGTTTGTTATGGAGGCAAATGGATACAAGATAATGAATATACAAGTGAAAAAATCACCGAAATTGTTGTCTTGATGGATTGAACGTACAGCATCCTTGAGTGCGCGATATTTTCTGTAATGAAACTAAGTTCATCAATACAAAGAATACAAATACAATATAGTGTGGCATTGTGTTGTTTTTGTTGTTGTTATTGTTAGCGGTAGTGATGTATTGGCGGCAGCGGGATGTGATAAAGAGTGTTTTGCGATCAATTATTTGGTTGATTTGTGACCAAGTATTGGTAGTAGATCGAGAGCGGGGTGGAGTGTTTGGTGTATATGACCAAATATTTGGTTCTTTGCGACTAACAATTAAATTGTGACCTTAAAATTCGTTAATTTGTGAACTATAAAATTTTTTATTTATGACCCATGAAATAAACTATGTAAAATTAAAAAGTGACGCAATGTCACTCTTTTATAAAATTGTCACTTTTTTCGTAATTCGAAAAAGTGACAAACTTAAAAGAAGTGGCAAATTAAAAAAAAAAAAAGTTACATACTCAAAAAGTGACAAAATTAAGAAGAAAAAAATCGCCGAAATTGTTGTTCTGATGGATTGCACGTACAGCATCCTTGAGTGCACGATATTTTCTGTAATGAAACTAAGTTCATCAACATAAAGAATACAAATACAATATAGTGTGGCATTGTGTTGTTTTTGTTGTTGTTATTGTTAGCGGTAGTGATGTATTGGCGGCAGCGGGATGTGATAAAGAGTGTTTTGCGATCAATTATTTGGTTGATTTGTGACCAAGTATTGGTAGTAGATCGAGAGCGGGGTGGAGTGTTTGGTGTATATGACCAAATATTTGGTTCTTTGCGACTAACAATTAAATTGTGACCTTAAAATTCGTTAATTTGTGAACTATAAAATTTTTTATTTATGACCCATGAAATAAACTATGTAAAATTAAAAAGTGACGCAATGTCACTCTTTTATAAAATTGTCACTTTTTTCGTAATTCGAAAAAGTGACAAACTTAAAAGAAGTGGCAAATTAAAAAAAAAAAAAGTTACATACTCAAAAAGTGACAAAATTAAGAAAAAAGAGAAAAAAAAGACACAAACTAAAAATAATAATAATAATAATAATAATAATAATAATAATAATAATAATAATAATAATAATAATAATAATAATAATAAACACCAAGATAACATCATCCATTTGTGCGGCACCACTAATCATGTTCTTAACATAATCAACATGTTCAGTACAATTCATGTGAGTGTAGTAGCGATTTTTAACATAATAAGCATGTCGAGGACAATCCACGTGATAGAAATTCACAAGTAACATTATAGTAACAAATGTGATAACAATTGCATCGAAGAGGAAAAAAAAAGATGAGAGAACACAAAAAAAGAATCGGAGCGGGGAATACATAGTGGGACAAAACCTTTCATAGATATATGATAAAATATAAAAAAAATAGCCATCAACCTGGCAATAACTAATGGTTGTGACCTTAAAACCTCTGTTGCTTCTTCTACCTCTAGCACACTCAAATTTCCTACCCCTGGCTCGCACATTCGACTTGGTGTGACTGTGTGGAACACCAGGAGTTGGACCAAAGTGCTTCGCTGCCTCACGAGACTTCACGGGTCCTCTAAGAAGTACCTGCATCAAAATAGCACAGTTAGCTATTTTGGGTTTCATAACAACACAAGGTTTTTGTAGCACAAACAGAAAAGGCAAAATTTACCAGCAGAATCATAGCTGTGAGCAAGACCAAAATAGTTGAACATTGAGCAATAATAATAATAATAATAATAATAATAATAATAATAAAATCTTTAAAAAAGCAATTTTTGTGAGTAACAGAATCCATATCAAACCTTAAATACTAGTTCAAAGGAAACAATGAATCAAACTATAAAAGTAGTGAACATAACAATCGATGCATAATTGAAATCACTGACAAAATGATATTCATGTTATTGGTTAAAAATCTCATTTCCACCGTTCTATACTACCAAACTATATCAAACTCTAGCAACAATATAATTATCAAGAAAAAGAAATTGATAGAAAAAGACTGGAATATTCACTAACATGTTTTGCCCAAGAAGAGCTCTGAGCTAGCCGATCAAAAGTTAAGCATTCTCCTCCTGCCTTCTCAATTCTTGCCCTTGCTTTCTCTGTGAACGTTACCTTCATTGCGGGGACTTCATAAGCCCGAATATCATCAGTGACATAGTCCCAACAAGCACTGCAATTTCGTCTTCCTTTCCCTTCACGAAGTGACAAGACGAGAGAGAAAGCGGGGCATTGTTAACCTTGCTCATGAACAGTCTCTTCAATATAATTGCATTGAACTTGCTTCCAGTTCTCCTCAAGAGGAATCGACACAGCTTGACGAGAAATTGGAGGTAAATATCATTGGATTTAGGAGCAGTGCGCTTGGTTTTCTTGCTCTTACCTCCGGCGACCAAATCCATACCCGTGGCTACTATTGGTGGTGGTGCTGCTTTCCGCCGCGCCTTCGGTGATAAATTTCAACAAAAATATCCGCAACAGAGGCTTGTTTCTCAAGGTTTTTTGATTGCAGGGGTTTTAGATTTGTGTGTTTTTTTCGTGAGTCTTGAATGTAATTAATACGGTAATAATAGTTTTAAATTAGTTTTAAGGTATTAATCAAATATTTAAATTTTTTAGGGTACTACACCTAATTTTTCCAATTATTAATGTATTGGGTAAATTAATGGGCTTCACTTCTTGCTGGGCCTGGGCGTTTGGAGAGTTCAAATAAAAAAAATCTGGGCCTCTGTCTTTGGTGGTCCAAAAGTTGCTGGACCTCATTGGTTCCAGTAAAATGCTGCACAAGTGCTTCATCAGGGCGTTAGAATCACCCAATGGAAAGAATTTGAAACAATTAGAGATCTTTTGACCGAAGAAGAGTGAATATTTCAGTTAGAAGACACTGTCTATTTGTTTAGAAGTGTCAACATGTGTTGGACTGTCTGAACACTAAAGGCACGGTTAAGGACGGTGTTGCCTGTGCAGGGTCGACCCCTTAGTAAAATATTCACTCAATAATTTTATTAAAAAAATTTAACAAACTTTTTCTAAATATTGGTGTTAATCAATCTCCGGTTCCATCACTCTATCCCATTAAAAACTCTTGAAATATTCCTCTGTAGTTTAGAAATGTAATACGTATGACCGAATTTGATTTTTGAGATGTCGTAATTCAATAATAATAATATCTTAAACTTCATTTTCAATAAATTTTATTTAATTATTTTCAGTAAATTGGCTACACAATTATACTCATAAATAATTACCTGACACTGGTACTTATTTCTTGTAATTAATCATAACTATTAAATGATTTTTCATATTGAGCCGACAACAGTTTTTCTCCTAGGAGCACGAATTATGCCGTTACATTAGCTTTTACAAAATTTTTTAAATTAGTCAGTGACTAAAAGAATCTAATTAATTAATTAATAATTAATTGGAAATGGAGGTCAATGGACACTTTTAGTGTGCATTAATGTTGTACCAATTATGATGAATGCGAGGGAAAATGAGTATTTTGGCCAAAAAAAAAAAGAAAAAAAGAAAAAGAAAGAAATTACATGAATTTTAAACTTTTAAAGTTTTCAAAGTTAAATAAGTGATTAAATGTTTTAAATGAGACTCATATTTTTATATTTAAGAGGTTCAATTGTAACTTAATTGGCATTTAAACAGTTGATTATCTGTATTTTAGACAAATAACATTATTCAATTTGAACAAACAAATTTGAACGCGTTTGGTTCGTTAGGCAAACTTGTTTAGATGCTAAACAGAAACATAAAAATTGTCGAAAAATCTCAATCGTTTCGGGAAGAGTCTTGCTTCTATGGTTTACTTTATTCAATATGGATATTTCAATCTATCATGTAAATCGAATTAGCTCCACATCTTATTTCTTCTTACTGATTTTGATTGGCTTTGACTTGACCTATTGATTATTTCCCTTGGGAAACATGCTAGGGAAAGATTGTTCAATCAAGTAGAAATCGAATATATGAAGACTTATGCCATTGAATTCGATATCATAATTAATTTCAAATCAATATTAGATCGAAAACTGTCAATTGACACACGACATGATCTATTTATTCCAGTTAAGAGGGTATACAGAGCTTGTTTGGGAGTGATTTTGAGAATTGATTTTTTGATCGTTAGGAGAAAAGTGGGGTCCACCTGTAAGAGAAGAAGTTAAATATAATGATTGGAGTAGTGAAATAACGGTCAAAAAATCAATTTTTTTAACCAAAAAATCACTCCCAAACAAATTGACAAGCTCATCAATTTTATTTATTTTTTATTTTTTTGAAGTCGATATTGAACTTAAAAGTTAGGTGGCCTCGAGCGTAATTTTCCCGCTTGACTAGGAGAAGAATTAAATTCATACGTTGTGTTATAAAATAATTAATTTCGCCAAAAGAGAATAAGGAGCGACACATACGAGTGGGTTCCCATTTTCCTGAGAATAAGGTCGTCATCCCAATGTTTTTGGACATATGAATTCCACTTGTCATCAAAAGAATTCTTCCCTTCTCTCTCTCTCTCTTTCTCTCAAATATACACATTCACTTTCCTAGTTCCCTTTTAATCGTGATCTGAATTATATTCACTTTCCCAGTTCTGCAATTTGTTCTTTGACTGTGAATCTATTTCTTTCCTCTGATTTCGGCAACAAGAGTCGAAAATGGAATAGACTTTTTGGCCGACTTTCTGGTTCTCGAAGACTTGTTAGATTTCAACTCCTTTCTCGTTACATAGATATAGATATAGATACAGAAAAACCAAGCTTCCTTTTGCATACAACAAAGCTTTCTCTCTCATGCACAAGATGAAGAACGAACAAGATGTAGAAAGACAGAAACTAATTTCATCTGTTAAGCTTATAAATTCTCAAGGATATCTTCACAATCTCATCATATACTTTCTTTTCTTTGGCTCTGGTTTAGTGATTGGAATTTCATTAAGTTTTTATCTCGAAGGCTTGCCCTTCGACTTGCCACTCAAGCAATTCTCCAATATTGAAACGCCACCACCATGTCCGCCGCCGCCTCCACCTCCACCTCCACCACCACCACCACCGCCTCCACCATCTCTACCGCCTCCACAACCAATTGCAGATAGAATTGGATTGGAAGAATTTCTAAAACCGCCACCAACTATGCACGACATGACGGAGGAAGAGCTTCTCTGGCGAGCTTCAATGGTGCCGCGGCTACGTGATTTTCCATTCAAACGTACCCCAAAAGTTGCATTCATGTTCTTAGCCAGAGGGATTCTGCCATTGGCGCCTTTGTGGGAGAAATTTTTCAAAGGAAATGAAGGATTTTATTCAATTTATGTGCATTTTTTGCCTTCTTTCAATGGAACAATACCAGAAGATTCAGTATTTCATGGCCGGAGTATTCCAAGTAAGGTACGTTAATTAGTTTCAAAATATAAATTAATTATTTTTTTTTCTGTTGCATATGCATAGAGATCTATGAATATTTTGATGTTTAAATTAAGTGATTATATTTAAGTTGGGTCAATGTATTTAATTGATTGTCCATGTTTAAGATTACAATATTTGTGTAAGTATCTATATTCACTTATCTATAGAGGACGTGAAGCCTCATGTAAACTTCACATTTCCTAGCCATACAAGAAAATTTCCTAAAATCTATTATGACATGTTCCATAAGTAACACTCGAGGTGATGAAAAATTAACACGGACATTTGAGTCGTCATCATAAATGATGAAAACCGATATTTGAATTCAGAAGTTGTATATGCTATAAAGTCATATTGAACTAACTTGTGTAAAATTTAAAGGGAGTAACATTTCTTTTTGTAATGTAACTATATAAAAGTGTCAAATTGAGCATATATGGAACTTGTTTCTAGATTTTTATTGGTGGGCTACGTTTTATTTGAAAACATAGTTGGAGATGAACAAATAATGATGAAATATTCAATGGCTTGAACCGACACTCGAATGGGTTTAATGTATCTTTGTATAGTTGAACGCCACACCAAATTAGGCTCCTCTTATAGGTTCAATGTACATCACAAAATAATTAGATATGTTACCTTAAAGTCCGGGTCAGATAAACCAACATTGCACCACTTGGACCGGAAATTTAGGAAGGTCAACTACATTGTTCATAGATTTATTTTCTTCTTCTTTTCTTTTCTTTTCTTTCCTTTTTATTTTTTATTTTTGGGCTTTGAAATTGAATCTGAATAGATTATGCTCCCATTTGGCCCCATTAAATTTCATTTCATTTTTCTCTTTTCGATTTTAAACCAGACAATTTTTTCATAAAATAATATTACACATAAATAAATAAAAAATTTCTTTTTTAATCACTCATTTAAAAGAAAAAAAAATACTATTTCACCTATTTTCATTTCAGAAAAATGGAGGCCAAAGAAGGGCTATATATGCTTATGTTTGAGCCCATTCAAATGAATTTTCGGCCAATTTCATTTTTTTGAATCTGTAGGGGCCACATTGTCAGAAATTATGAGAAAAACACAGCAAAGTTGACTTTTGGGAAAATTTGCAAGTCCAAGAATTTATGTTCCCCATTTACCCTTCAAAAAAATGGTGGGAGGTTATTTAGAACTGAAGGAACGGGAGGGTTATTTTTGGAAACTGGTTTTAAAAAATGAGGGTATTTTCGACATTTGAATTTAAAAGTTTTTTGCAACAATTATTTTGCCTGACAATACACTTTGCGCTGCATAATTTTTTAAAAATTAAGTATTGTTGAAAAATGAGAGCTAAAAAAAATGAGATTCAACACGCTATGTATAGTTCAGCTTTTAACTCGTTCTATTTAACACCCTAATTTAGCATACTGAACATGTTGATAGTTCTTTTATATTATGGTAACATAGCACATATCTTATGATGGGGTCAGGATGGGGTGGATAGCCTAATCTAATTGTGGTTGGAATGTGGTAAGAATATAGGGAAACTATAAACCCATTTTATTCTCACAAGGGCCATTTTCTTGTGCTAGTGATTATTTGAATTATGGGGTTTGGATAAATTGCATATTGCGAGAAATTTTACGACTGGACAATCCTTGTGTTGGTTGATTTTATTTTAATTCATTATAAATATTTACACATCTTTGGTCTAGTCGAGTACAAAATACTAGTTTCTCTTTTTGAGGTTCAAATCCAAAATCAATACGTCCACTTTATCATTCAAATCTTTTATACAATTTTTCTGACATTAGAATATATATATATATATATATATATATATATATATATATATATATATATATATATA